TGGGACATAACCAGAGGTAGAAAGGTCTCGGAAGCACTTGGGAAGAGGCTTCCCAAGACCTATCCAGTTCTGAACGGAGAGACCTAAGTAGAATTTGTCAGGTCCAATTATTCGACTCGGGTTTTTGACGACTAAAAATAGCGGGAGTGCATTGCGAACTCCCGCAAGAAATAAAACATTAACTTTCCTCAGACGGGGAAAAAAATGTTTGAAATGTATGCATTAACACATTTAGCATTAAAAAAATGCATTTTTGTTTACACAAAATGGTGTATTCGCAGAAGCGAATAAAATTGAGTTCATTCCCTTAACGAAATTATTTCATTACCCCGAATCGCTGAAATCCATTGGCACGTGTAAACGGACGGACTAATAGTTTGTACTTGATATTATCTATTTATTCGTGTATAACGCACGGAGAGAAAAGTTGAGTAAGAATTCGTCAAGTTCGGTAAAAAAACACATTTATAAATATAAAAACCTCGTGCACAGTAAAATTTCCCACACCGGTAGGTTATTTTTCTCTTGCACCTCTCTGAAGGTGACGGGGAAGAATGGAAGTGAAATTTTTTCATTCTCAAGGAAAATTCGATAATTTTTTTGGCTGATAGCAGAACATATGAAACTAACTTCTTTGATGTTAAAGAAAAATTAATTGCGATAGTCCCATCAGAAATAAATAAATTTTTCATTACACACGGGTTCTTATGGGATGTATGTTGAAATTTATAATTCACCTACTAGAAGACTCTAAAAATAGAAATAAAAATAGAAGGTAATGTGCAAAACTATACTGAATCGAATGGCCAGAGAAGAATTTGGCGTACCCGGGCAAAAAGAGGAAATATTTGAAAGATTGGGTTTGGTGCATTTTGTCCACTTAATTTCTAAATAATAAACGCGGGTTGGTGCTTTGAAATTTTTCTCAAGATAAAAGGAATAACTTCACCTCTCAGTTGAAAAAAAATTAATTTTTTTAAATACTTGTGATGTTGGATAAGCATCCCTAATGTCTTGAAGACATATTCTTTGCGACAAAAAACCACTGGAGTGCATTTGAAACTTCAAGATATCTCTGAAATAATTTGTTTTCGCACTGGAAAGAATAATGTTTTAAATGTACGCGTTCCCACTTTGAGTCTCAAGAAAATGCAGTGTTGTATTCATAGAATCGTTCCTGGAGCAAATAAAATGGCATTCATACCCCTAAAGACATTCTTTCATTATACCAAGCAACTAAAATCCATTGGTAAGTGTGAATGGACGGATGAATGGGTCAAGTACAATACCTGGGGTCTGGTAATTTCGGTATTTCTCGGTTCAGCAAACACGGGAAAGTGAGACAGGTAATAATGAGAGACGGAATTAATACCCTTCGTTGGGTACCTTCAGTGACCTTTCGCAAGGTGCAGGTAGTCGGGTATTCGGTGAACTCGATTCGACATTTTTCTGTGCAATTCCCTGCTTAATGAGTCAGGTATGCCAGTATACTAGCAAATTTCCATTGGCGTCGCTACGAATTTTGTTCATTTCAAAAATTCAACCGCTCAAACATATTAATTAAAAACTCCGTCATTAGGCCATTATGCGATCGCCGATAGCAATTCTACTAATTAATAAGTAGAGGATGTAAATAAAATTCCATCTGCATTTTTACACGCACGAGAAAAAAAATTAGTAGAAAAACCTAGCGAATTTGTTGGAAAATTCTATGCAACTTATTCTCTTGAGATATGTCCTATAGAATTTCATCGGCTCAAATTTTCTAAGTTGTTTTCATTTTATTTTTATTTTCTTGAGCCGAATGTGAAATTCTACAGAAAATATCTCAATAGAATAAGGAATTGGTTAAAAACTGATAGAAATACAATAGAATTGTCTAGCGAATTCGCTAGAGTTTCGATGAAATTTTTGTATACGTGGACGCCAACCTTTCGAGAGTTAAATACCCTCCAGGGCGAAGGCGTCAGGCCGATTTAATGTCATCTGTAGGCTAAAATTCACAAAAATAGTTAATACTGGAATATTTTCATCTGCTAATAAACTATTTTTCATTTCTAAAACTCCAAAAATACGGCGGTTTTGACACAAGTTGTTGGAAAATCGAGAGACAGTGCCCTGATGATAGCATTTAACTCTCGAAACGTTGGCGTTAAAATGCAGATGGAGTTTCATTTACTGGCAGACTTTTTAATTAACAAATCCCCCTCCCCCGAATTTTTTAATTTGTGCATAGATTATTACTTAATTGTTTCCCTCTATGCAAGGAAAACAATTAAGTAACTCTTTCCATGCAATTTATGCCTTAAAAACATCTAAGGGTGATATAAAATATCTTGAATTTAAATTTTCTCGTTTACTTTTAACCCAGTCGAAATCTCCAGAATTACGAAAACAAAATTCAACATTGCATTCACTCTTGCGAATTGTCTGAATGTCAAAATGATGAATGGAACCATTCCCTCGTGAAATTTTCGATATTCTGCAATTTTGTTTGAATATCCTTGATTGGTCGGGTCATGGAGGCTGTTAAAGGATTATTATTTCATTGATCATTATTTGTTTCCCTTGTATAGAGGGAAACAATAAAATAACTCTTTCCCCGTAATTTATGCCTTAAAAATATGTAAGGTTGATATAAAATATCTTGAATTAAAATTTTCGTGTTTACTTTCAACCCAATCGAAATCTCCAGAATTACGAAAATAAAATTCAACATTGCATTCACTCTTGTGAATTGTCTGAATGTCGAAATGACGGATGGAACCATTCACTCGTGAAATTTTCGATATTCTACAATTTTTTTGAATATCCCTGATTGGTCGGGTCATGGGGGCAGGTAAAGGAGTGGAAGGGGAAACACCGTAGCGTTCGGCTTTGCGGCGTCAACTGGCGGGGGTAGTCGCTTACCAGTTCTCATACAGTTCAGACGTGTCTAGTTACTCAACATTAAAACTCATCCCACCTAGTATCCCTGCATTTTACTTTGTGATAATTAACTGTGAATGATAAAAAATCGTGTTCTAAGCAATTAAAAACAGTGCAATGCCAAAGCGCTAGTGTTTACCATAAATGAATGAAACAAATCTCTCTAACATACCATTAAACCCCAATCACCAATTAGTGTAATTGTAAATAATCATGGAGGAGAATAATCCGAAGATTGAATTTGAACTTGGTAAGGAAGTGTCACCGGGTAATTTTTTCAAGAGTTCATTCGCTCGTTCGTTTGTGTCAAATTGTCACGATATAAAATCCCTGGATACTGATTACGTGGATAATTTAATGAGTGAGGATCACTCGGAGGGAAATCTCTCGACTGACACGATAACCAGTAACAATAATTACTTTTCCCTCAACACTTTCGAGAGTCCCACCAAAGTCTTCGGCAGCATCGAGTCGACAAAAGTAAGTATCGATTTATTTGTTTATCGGGGGGGGGAGGGGGTGAACATAATTTGCAATCAAGTGATTCCGTGCTAACATTCAATATTTTTTTGTGTCTAGGAATCAACGCTGAATGAAGCTGACGCTAGGGAGTTGAATCACCTGAGGAAGGTAAATTTTACGTGAATTATTATTCAAAGTAACTTGTAGGAAGTGGGATAACACATGGGGGTAGACAAAGAGGGAGAGGGTATGCGTGAAGGGAACGATTTCCGGAACAGGTGCATCCCGTCGTCGGCTACCGTGTGAATGAACAAAGAGAAATCTCAAGTGCCATGACAAATGCCATAGTGACTTAGAAAAAGATACACTTTGTTGGGTTTTGTTGTTTTTTCTTTTTCTTTTTTTGACTGTTGATTTCTCGGTATGAAGAGTATTCTGAAATGCACGATTTTATGACGCGTGTGCGTGGAGTACAAGTGAAAGGATTGCCAGGGCAATCGGGAGGTTTCGTTGGACAGGAAGTTCGCTCCAGCCCCTCCTGTAATTGTTATCAACGCTGATGTACATTTGAACGGTTACGATTGTGTCCTCGAGGACCCTAAAGTTCGTGAAACTCTTGGTTTATGGTAGGGGAAGAGAACTAGAGGCTGAGGGAGATAAAATGAAAGGGGGAAAATTTTCTTATCCTGCGTTTTTTTTCCATCGAAAAATACTCGAGTTGTTCTTGAAATTTATTTCTGTTGAGGGTTCGTAACTTGTGACGAAACTTTTCAGTTCCTTTTTTTTCGCTTCGAGGAAGTGAAGTATTTCGTAAAATAGTTGGACTGGAGACAAATTATCACATTGTTATTTTGTTTCGTCAAATTTCTCTTCATTTTTCGCCCGGGGAAGCCGAAAATTTTTGCAACGACGAAATTATGACTTAATAATCAACTTTTTTATCTTTTCTCACGAATTGTCTTGATTTCTATGAAAAAATCAAACTAAATTCGTTATAAAATTTTAAAATTCTGTTTTTTTACAAGAGGGAACAAAAATATTCAGAGAAACGTGGCGCAAATTAACCATTTTTTTCATCATTTTTTTGCAAAAACCATTGATTTTCATTAAAAAATTGCACTAAACTCATTGTAAAAATTAAAAACTCATTAAAAACTCACGACTGCCTTATTTTTCTCACAAAATCTTTTGACTTCTACGAACAAAATCAAACTAATTTCGTTATAAAATTTGATAATTAATTTTTTTAACTAGAGGAAACAACAAAATTTAGAAAAACATGTCACAAATTAACAATTTTTTTCATAATTCTCTGCTACAACCTTTGATTTTTATTAAAAAATTGAACTAAACTCATTATAAAAAATTATTTCCATTCAAAACTCATACCTCCGTTATTTTTTCGTACAAAAAGAACCCCCTCCGCTCTCTACTCCACGAATAAATTCAAAAGTAAACTGCCACGAGTGATATTTCAAGTTTGCAAAACGAGGGCAGGTGCACAGTACAATACCACAGTTCGCGGGAATCTTCACGTAGATTTTCTCACCAAACTAACGAAAAATTAATCCTCCCAGTGGCATTGTTTGAGCGATACAGTTTGCACCGTCACTCATAGCCCCAATGTGTATTTTTCCTTCGGCGCATAATAATATTTCCCACCCAAGCGCTTTCATTCGGGGTTGTCTCAAGACACCATTATTCCATTGTATACAAGACAGGTATAAGCGAGAAATACCTGTTACACAGGATGCATCGCACCTATTTTTCAGTGTCAACTAAAAACCCCTGGCACTGATTATTCATCAATTTATTCACAACTTCAATTAATACAATCGCTCGAGTGTATCTAAACTAAGCGCATAAAACCGAATGGGCAGACATAGAAATAGAATAAAAAATATGGGTATACGTGCGGTGGAAAGCATCATAATTTCATACTGAAAAAAAGAGCCTGGTGAAAGCTATGGATGAGGTCGATTCGAGTGCGAGAAAATCCCTCACATACGTTAAATAAATGAGTTGAGAGGAATCCTTGGCGCTAAAGTAACAAGAGATTCTTCATTGTGCCTGTCCAGATCATTGATACCATGAGAACAGATATCCCTGCTTGATACGCGATATCCACCCAGCGTGCCTTCATCTCATTCCCATGACCGTTCTCGGTTATTTTTCATTTTTTTTTTCAACTCTTCATTTGATTAAAAAAAATCGATCTACGTCAGGCTTTAAAAATACCCAGAGACGTTAACTACGTATCGAACGGCCCGTAATTTACGCACGCGTTGATGTCCCCGGCAGGAACAATCTCAAATATCGAAAATTACGAGAGTAAACAATAAAAAAAATTCAATAAAAAAATGAATTTGTCCTAAAACGATGAAAATTAAGCGCAGTAAACTCGGATAACTGGAGCGTAAGACGGAACGTTGTTGTTCCGGATACCTAAACTATATTATAAACATGCGGGGAGACAGAATAGAAAAGGAAACTAGGCAGTGATCTTATCTCTCTCTCTCTCTCTCCTCGCTACGCACCTATAATCACTCTCCGCGGATAACAAACAATAAAAAAGAATAGAGAACTGTAAAGAGCACCGCAAAAATTGATCGTTTGCATTGCTGAAGTATAGCCTAACGCAGGCGTGTCTGTAACCTTCCCCAGCATTCCATCCCAAGCAGTGAGGGATATACAGTACAAAACCTAGACTATATAGATATTTGACCGGAGAGAACGGTTCAAGCGCCGCGAGGCCGCGGATATTTTCTTACCGTTCCCCTGGAATGCACCAAAAATACATTTTCTCAGTCTCATTGCGCTTCGAGACTCTACACAACTGACATTTTCAGGGGATATAGGTATCCCCGGTGGTCCTATCGAGGAATTTTAATTTTATTTTCAATTGTTTGAAGCTTATGGAACTTAAAATGGTCTTCTAGACTGACAGAGAAATGACCGGGAATTCTGGGATATTTAATGAAGTAATTTTTCAATCACGAGATTTGATATTTAATGCGGTTTGAGGGGAAAATGCTTGGGAAATTTGAAGTTTCAGGTGGATTAAAACTCAAGTAAATTAAAATAGTTTCATGTAGAAATGACAGGGAATTTTCACAGCTGGCTTGGATTTTTCCTCAGTTTCAATGAATAATTGAAATGGAGTTTCCAATTTCCACAGATTTTTTCATCAGATCATGGAAAAATCAATGGAATATGTAATTTACAATGGCAATATGCGAAAATTTTCAAGATTTGACAAGAATAATTCAGTTCAATTCAGACTCATTATCCCATAAAGTTTCTTGAATATTACCAACAGGATGAAGTGTAAATGCACTAAACATCTAAGTCTCAAAGGGGCTTAAAATAGTACCCCTGGTGGTCCTATCCAACAATTTGAATGTTAATTTCAATTGAAAGTTTCATCCTACAAAGTTCCTTGAATATTACCCACGGGATGAAGTGTAAAAGTACTAAACATCGAACTATTAAAGGGGGTAAGAATAATACCTCAGGTGATCCTATCAACACATTGAATTTAAATTTCAATTGAAATGATCCTTCACACTTACAGATAAAATTTTTTATGAAATCATGAGATTTGACATTGAATGCAATTTGGGGGCAAAAGTCTTATGAAATTTCAAGTTGTAGGTGTAATTCAAGTGAATTAAAATAGTTTCATGTAAAAATCAGATGAAAATTTTCCGATTTCTCCAAATTTTCAATGAACATTCAACCTAGAATAATTGAACATGAATCGTCAGTGGCAAAATTAGCTGTATTCGCCTGAACTTTCTCAAGTCTTCCTCAGTATTCACTGAATAATTGAACCGAACCTCACAGTTTCCATATATTTTCTATCAACTCACGAGAAAATCACCGAAATATGCAATTTTCCACTAACATTAAAAAATTTCCAAAATTTAACAACAAAAATTAACCCACAAACTTTGTAACCGTATAAACCCCATTCCATAATCATAATTACCCCATAAAGTTCCTTAAACACAACCCAAAGACTGAAATGTAAGAATAATAAACATCAAAAGCTCTCAAAACGGCCGAAAATAGTGGCCCCGGTGGTCCTATTGAACCCTTTGAATTTAAATATCAATTGTTCAATTCACATGGCCCTTGAACCGGTCCCTCAGACTCACAAAGAAATGTTCTTTTCCGAGCAACACGTACAGGTAGTGTTCAATGGTTGTACTACCCCCCTTCAGTTTTTATCGTGTACGCTGAATAATTCAAGCAGTGACCGTAGCAGATGACGTCATGATAGTATTCATCCGCACGGTGGACGGTTCAGGGTGAGCAACCATGCGTAACCCCATCCGCTTTTGCCGGCGCAGGACATTCGAAAAAACGTCCACAGCTCGACTCGGCGCAATCCCCATTAATTTACATTTTATTTGCCCAGCATTATCCCAAGAAAATCCCCCTGGAATTCATCCCCCTCCAGACACCGATTTACATCTCTCTATTCCCTGGAAACAGTTTCATGAGCGCAATTTTCACAATAACTCATTATTATTTGTTTCGTCTTTCATCATCATCGCCCTATTCCGTTTTATCTCGGCAAAGATCGCCGGATAGATCACGCAACTTCTTTTCTTCAAAATCCTTCAATCTCATTGTATGGAAATACCACCGAAGGATATGTAGTGTTTTCTGCTCTACCGAAATAATACGGGGTACATTACAGTTACGTTAGTACGTTCAATGTTTTCTTAATTCTCCTCATTCTTCTTCTTGTTCTTCTTTTTTTTCGCTTATGTTGGATTTTCTTTTCTTTACTTTTGTGCGTGCTTTTGCCCGGGTTGTAACTGACGTATAGGACGTGCTCCCTGTGTGGGTTGAGAAGTGAAAGGCCTTTGTTCGTTAAAACGCGATGATGTAGTTGACTTTTGATTTTATCACTGAAATTGCAATGAGTTTGGGCGTCTAATAATTTTGTTCAGATCAGTGTTTAAGATTGAACTACAATTATCTGTTGATTAGGCTTGTGACACTGCAGGTGTAGCTGAGTTTTGTGATGACTTTGTAGATAAAATTGTTCTGCGACATTAAGAGGCCTCGGGAATGAAAGAAAAAACGACTAAAATGAGAGAAAACTTTGCGCCTTGAATTCTTTACCAAAGGAGGATGGAAAAGTCTGAAAGATGATTCGAAAAAATTGTTCCTTTCGTAAAAACCTGATGAAGCGAGCTGAGAGTGATCCGAAGAGGATAAATAATTTAAAGAAATGTTTAAAAGTTCGAGGTGGGAGCACCGCCATCTTTAAAGCCCCATGCGCGGAGTCAGGGGGTATGCAAAATAGTAGCGCCCACACCTGTCGTTAAAAATTTCTTGGAATTTACCCTCTTCAGATCATCGTTAACTCGTTTCACCTACTTTCTAGTGAAAGAACAAATTTTTCAAGCTATTCTTTAGATTTTTTTCATCCCCTTTTGGCTAAGAATTCAGTTTTTTTAGTCCTGAGGCCTTTTAACATGAAAATGAATAACATTATCGATTGGACTATTGTATCTCATGATATTTTATAAATTCTAGCAATGTCAAACACTGACAGAGGAAAATCACAGACTGCACAGTGTCCTGAAGACAAATCAGGTGCCGAGAATTCAAGTTATGGACAATGTACTACTCCAGACACAGGTGGATACCCTCAAGTGGCAGTTGAAACAGGTAAAATGCCTCAAACAACGTGATCTAAAAAAATTATCCTCAATTTTCCCCCCCAATTTTACCACGACTGTTCTTCAATTTCAGGCAGAAGCGAATCAACAAATGTACAGATCTCTCATGCGTCAGGTTGCACGTTTTCTGGACCGTACAAAAAAAAGCCTTGATTACGTTAACGAGAAAAATGCTAATCGTAACAAACGTTCATCATCCCGTAGTAATCGCAGTCAGAGTGTCTACATCGAGGAATCATCAACGAATTCATCCACAGTGATGTCCCCAATAAATAGCTCCAAATTTACTCGTGCCAAATCTGTAACGCAAATTCCCGCAAATGGCTGCTCGGGATTTCGAGAATTCACGTGGTCTGTACTCAGGAGGAATGATCCCGCCCATTGTACACCACCGAGAGTTAAAACCGATCGAAAGACGAATGAGGATCTCAATAAAACACACGAAGGTGTTGTTTATAGACGACCCAGTAAGGATGCGAATTCCGAGGAGAATGGAGACCATGTACCAACGGAAAAATTATCGCAGGAGGCATTTAGGTATGTTGCACATGCATTGCGGTTGAAGAAGATGGCATGTTCGTGGAAAATCTAGTAATCATTTTTAGGAGAGGGAGATTTCACTCGATTTAGGGGGAAAAGGCTCATCAAATTTCATGCCTCAGGTAGAATTCAGGAGAATTGACATAGTTTCTAGCAGGAATGAGACGAAGATTTTACAATATACTTTACTTTTCAGTTCATTTGAAATTCAAGAATATTAGAAGACTGATTTTTCCGAATTTGTAGGGAATAATTCAACTGTTATTCACAGTTTCCTTAGATTTTTTCATCAAATCATGAGAAAAATGATTGCATATGTAGCGATTTGAAATTTAATTGCATTTACGAGAACAAAATTTCTGAAATTTTCAGTTTCCGGGAGATTTTCAAGTGAATTAAAATAATTTTTTGTATTTTCAATTAAATTCGTTCATCAAATAAAAAATTTCCAAGATTTGAGGCAAAAAATTAATTAAAAAAAAAATCTAACGTGTCCAAATAATCTCAGTACCCCGTAAATTTCCTTAAATATTACCCACAAGCTAAAATATAAAAATGATAAACATCAAGCCATAAAAAGGGATGCAAATTACCCATAAATTTCCGCATCGTAAAACGATACTAGCCAACCAAACTCACTCGGTGTGCATTTCAACATCGAAAAATTTTCAGATAATCTCCTCAAATCCCCTCCAAACTCGCTGATACGACTGTTGACCCCGAAACATCCGTATAAACTCCAAAAACTCTAATAATACTCCTCCACATTTAGCTCGCGCTCATCAACAAAAAACCCAAATGTATCTATTCCAGTTCTGAAAATCCTCTAATCCAAAAATATTGATGTTATCCCCAGATTAATGAGAACCGTGGAGTCGCTTCTAGCGATGCGGCACCCAGACTTGGCGATAACCTCATCATCCTCCTTCTCCTCTACGTTCTCCTCAGCATCATCCTCGTCATGTGCCTCCTCCACCCACGAGCACACCATAGACGACGACAACAACAACATCTCGCTGACTCAATTCCACAACGACATAAAAGGCGCCAACTCAACGTTGATAAGTGATGGCTCCTTCATCGAGGAGGAACTGTCCTTCAGATCCCTCAACTCAACTTTCCTGAACGCCGAGTGCAAACCCATCGAGAAGAAAGAGGATAAAAAGAAGTCTCCACTGAGTTCTATTTCTAGACAATTGTTCAAGCAAACAGGAAGCTCAACGCCAAATTCAAAAGCCAAGAGACCAGTCAAAGAGGACAGGCGGACAGCCTTGAAAGACGATAAAACGAATAACATAAACATGGCAGACGATGAAAGTGGATTTTCATCGATGAATTCGTTTCAGGATGTTGGTCTACCAATGACCACTGTTCTCTCTCCGATCAAGGGCTGTCACACGGAAATAGGTCTGCCACGAGTGCCACGGGACAAGACGAACCACAGGAGGTGGTCCTCAACACCTGTTGAGCTCCAAACACTCCTCAAGAAGTGCAGCAATGGATTCATGCCCAATCGGTCCAACGTCGAGTCACTCAGTGTTTGGGTGTGAACAATTATGATATCCTCATGACACATTGTAAAGCACGACAACAACAACATCTTGACAACTCAATTCCACAACGACACAAACGAAACCAACACAACATCGATATATAATGGCTCCTTCATCGAGGAGGAGATATCCTTCAGATCTCTCAACTCAACTTTCTTGAACGCCGAGTGCAAACCCATCGAGAAGAAAGAGGATAAAAAGAAATCGCCACTGAGTTCTTTTTCGAGACAATTGTTCAAGCAAACAGGAAGCTCAACGCCAAATTCAAAAGCCGAATACGAATTACGAATAACATAAACATGGCAGGCGATAAAAGGGCATTTTCGTCGATGAATTCGTTTCAGGATGTTGGTCTGCCAATGACCACTGTTCTCTCCGATCAAGAGCTGTCACACGGAAATAGGTCTACCGCGAGTGCCACGGGACACGACGAACCACAGGAGGTGGTCCTCAACACCTATTGAGCTCCAAACACTCCTCGAGAAGTGCAGCAATGGATTCATGCCCAATCGGTCCAACGTCGAGTCACTCAGTGTTTGGGTATATCCAAACATCAACATACGACAACAACATCTTGACGACTTAATTCCACAACGACACAGATGGCTCCTTCATCGAGAAGGAACTATCCTTAGGATCCCTCAATTCAACCTTCCTGAACACCGAGTGTAAAACCATCGAGGAGAAAGAGAATGAAACAAATCACCACTGAGTTCTATTTCGAGACAATTGTTCAAGCAAACAGGAAGCTCAACGCCAAATTCAAAAGCCAAGAGACCAGTCAAAGAGGACAGGCTGACAGCCCTGAAAGACGATAAAACGAATAACATAAACATGGCAGACGATAAAAGTGGATTTTCGTGGATGAATTCGTTTCAGGATGTTGGTCTGCCAATGGCTACTGTTCTCTCTCCGATCAAGGGCTGTCACACAGAAATAGGTCTACCGCGAGTGCCACGGGACACGATGAACCACAGGAGGTGGTCCTCAACACCTGTTGAGCTCCAAACACTCCTCAAGAAGTGCAGCAATGGATTCATGCCCAATCGGTCCAACGTCGAGTCACTCAGTATTTGGGTGTGATCGATTATGATATCGTCGTGATATGATATCACATTGTAAAATAACATTAATTGAGATAAAACGACGTAATTATTATGATACGTACGCTGCTTTCGTATTTGCCACGATTTGATGCTAATTGTACTATAATGATCGGTGAAAGACACCTCTGAATGTTTATTTTCCAGTGATTTGTACTGCCGTCAATTTTGTACTATAGATAATAAAATCTGCTTGATTAGGCGAATAAGATCATTAGACTCCGCTATTATTAGCGTTTCGAGTGCTAAATACACTTTTTACTGGGGTGGAAGTTAATTTCATTGCTCAGGGGTACAAAAATAAGCTATTGCCGATGAACAAATCGATAACTATTGCATTGAGATGTTTCTAACAACAACAAAATGTGGATTGTATTGACTTCATGATAGACAAAATTCAGAAAAAGCGTCAACCTCTTCAGGAAAATAGTCGATGGCAAAATTAGTTCGTGAGTTTTTATGTTAAGAACATGGGAAAAGTGATGAGATTTGATTCTTTCCCATAAATTATCACATGGATGTTTTTACAGAGGGCATAGAAGTTTTAACTGGGATAATAGCAATATGAGCTGACACGTCTCATATTCTCCGCAGGTAAAACGAAGTGTAAAGGGCAAACAGCCTTAATCATCATCATCTCGACATCATTTAAATGAAATTGAATAAATTTTTGACATTTTAAATTTGTATTTCCAAGTCTCCAAATAATTTCAAAACATTAATTCATGTTATCCCATTCCTTCCTGCTTAAATGATTGAAATTTTGCATGCAAATTGTGTATTACACATGAACATTTAAAAAAAAAGAACACGTATTGAAAAAGAACACGTATTCCTTTTTTATCCCTTCTACTTTTGAATTTTTTTGAATATTTTTTAAAAGCGATTGACAACTCACCAATAAACTTATCAACTGAGCTCAGCCTAGGGTCATCACCCAGAGGAAGGACTGGATTTTCCGTTGAAAAACGCATCATTTCATTTCATCGAAAATACACTGAGTCGTCAACACTTGAAAAAAAGTCTTAACTGTCCACTTTGCACACTCGTTTTTCAAAAAGCAAAAACCTCGTGATTTCCCCAACTTTTCAAAACACACAAACAGACACGTATCTATCACTTCTTCTTTTGAATGTTTAAAAATTCACGAATAAATTTATAACTCACGAATAAATTTTTCTGTACTGTTTCTCAGGATTCCTCGGCTGGGAATTGGTATTGCATACCTCCCAAACTCGGAAGCTTGAAAATCACTACAAAAAAAAATTTTCCCAGGGCTCTTGCGATGGGTTGTTTTTACTCGTGTGGTTGGTCAGTCCTTGGCTTCTGCTCGGACGCCAACGCCACAGGAGTAAAAAACCCCACCACAACAGCCAGAAAAATACTCTATCACCTGAGCTCAGCCTAGGGTCACCGCCAAGAGGAGAAATTGGATTTTTCGTTGGAGAAAGAATTATTCTATTTCATTAATTAGAAATGCTAAAGTCTCAACTGTCCATTTTACCCCACTCGCTTTTCAAAAGGCCAAATATCATAACCTCTTGACTTCTCCCGACTGTTCAGAACGAAAAAACCGTGTCTAGAATCTTTCCTCGAATTTTCAAATCCCATCCATTGTTTTACTCGATTAAAAAAAACACGCACCACTGTTCAGCTGTCCATAGAGACTCCTATTCTACCGATGATCACAACAAACGATAAACACTCAACTCAACTCGCCTCAACTCCACGCATAGTTCTCCCAGTACACCACAAGATGGCAGCACGGGCCGTGTCACTTTAATAGATTGATTTTCAAGAACACACGGGGTGCCTCACAACGTTATTTTAATGTTCCACAGAGCCAACGAGTGCCGTGAGTGACTCGTAGCGATACGCGGTCCGGTGTCGGGTGTGCTCTAGGGCCTCTCTGTGCCGGTGGCCAAAAACACATTAAAAATTATTTTCAACTTTCCAAAAAGAAAACCCCCCAAACCTAACAATTCAAAGCAACACTCCATACCGCAAAATCAAGGGGAACAAGCCCTTACTCACACAGCACCGGCGCATTGTTAACACCACTTATCACTCCTATTCTCAGTTGAAATTGAAATAGTGTCTCTTGTTACCAAGTTGTTTGTTAATAAAATTGTTGACATAAATTTTTGATAAATTAAAAATCATGAGATAACATTTATTTTTAACTCAAAGAGTAATCTATCAAGTGTTGAATTTTAACTCAGAGTATAAAAAAACTAGTGTTTCACTGATAATTGTTAAGAATTAATCAGTTAAGAAGGTGTAACGCGTGGTTGTGCTCATCAACTGGCTCAAATAACTCCGTCTCATACTCAAGAGTCCTGACAATTCAATAACAATTCCCCTCAATCAACTTAATCCCCCCAAATAATCGACTTTTGCCAAAGAAAAAAAATTCATTCAAATTCTCTCCCTCGTGTGTGGTGTTTTGTGTGGCTCTACTCCGGTCGTCGTTTCGTGGCGCAGTGCGTGAAATGAGCGACAAGGACCGTTCATCTCCCACCCTCGTTGAAAACGGCCTCAAGTCGCTACTTGACCAGCCCAGTATTTTTCCGTTGATCGGTGAGTAAACGTTTCGCCTTTCATTATGAAGGAAAAATCAAATAACGAGGATAATCTGTCACCTTGTCATCAGGCAATCATTCCCAAGCACTCCAGAAATCACAGACTCCCCTCACCCAGCCCCTCAAAAGCCGAATGAATCTGTCGAGTGTCTGAACAGAAAAGAAAACCCGCAACTTTCGCAGTAAAAAATCGCCAATTGTCAAAACTCAATCGATGATTTCCGGAGTAACATGTCCATTCGTTCATATTTATAGACATTAACGCTGGAGTGTGCCAAAATATTTCACCGGGAGTTCCCCAATTCATTTGCAATAAAAATAACGAATACAAGAATGTTGCGTGCTCCGAAGGGACTATTGTTGTTGCCAAGAGACAAACTCGTTGGAAAAATGCAATGAAAAAATTTTGGAGTGATTGAGTTGATGTTGCCCACCCTCGTGTGTTAATGTGTGTGGATTAACTTTGCGCCGGCGCAAAGCGGTCTAAGCTTGAATCCGCTCTGGCTCTAGATTAACCTCGTTCGGTTTATACTGCTGTAGAGACCCCGTGGCAAACCACGTGATACGCCTCGAGAATGTCTAACCTGACCTTAACTAGCCTAACAATCTTTTTTTTGTCTCACTCGTTTTTTTTTCGTTAACGCTCTGTACTTTAGAACGGATAAAATCAAAGTCCAATGACCATTCTTCAATGAGCACTTTCGTTACTGAAGAAAATGTTCCCGCATTTACCCGTTGACCGGATTTTTCATCGAACTGCCTTTTTCCTTGCATTCTCAGAAGAATAGGTGATTTATTGTCACTAAAATAGTCGAGGGGGTGGGGGGAATTTCAGCTGGAATAAAATAAACGAGATTTACGATATTTTCAATGCTGAATGACGAAGGAAATGTCGGATGATAAAAGCATTTTGTCTCAATCCTTCCTCTGGCTCGTGTTTTTTTTTGTTTCCTTCGTCTCGATGGTAATAAATTTATTGCGTACTCACAGTGGCGTTATGTGCCATATCGTTTTTTTTTGTCTGTGATAAGAGTGAATACCCGAACGTATGCGAGAGAGTCTTTTTATATTCCAGATAAGGAAAAAAAGTTTCGAAAAGGTGTGAACAATCCAGCCCATCATCCAGCAGCCAAATTCACCTTTTTTCCACTAGTGTAGGTAAAATACAATGATGAAGTATTCACCATTATTGAGAGAATTATGTATGACGTACGTTTATGGTTCAATTCAAATGCTGGTGAATGAGTAAATCAATGGATCGTTTTTAGTTAATTTTTTATGAAGAATTGTCTGCCTGTCTCACTGTCAGCCTGTTGTAACTATACCACCTTCATAATCAGTTACTTTATTTAGGTACTTGATCCCTCGATATTGTCCAAGTATGCGCATACACTCAAGGGTCATTCATTGCGTCAGAGTGTATGGAGAGCAGTACATTGTGGCGAGCTTTTCACACGGTTTGTTTAATCGATTCGTGGGTCTAATTCGCTGGCGGTTAACAAATGAAGTTTAATACATTTTTTTTTCGAATGCAATGAATTTTTCTGAATAGAGATTGTGGCATTATAGTTTTTTCGATAATAAACGACATTTCCATCTCGAGATAACCCGCTGAACCCGTTGAGAAATTATTCCAAAGGACATTGAAACAATGACTCGTCATGTTAATGCTCATCCATTAAGAGATCATAAAAAGAAATCACCTCTTACCACTCTGAGAACATATATTTTTATCGCAAATTTACTCTTCAAGCATGGAACTCTTCAAAGTGATAATTCCCTCAGTTTTTATTCTCATTTTGTGCCTCAGAGTTGGGACGAATGTCAAAATGTTTGACGGACAGAGTGCAAGAGACATGAGGCTTGTGAAAATAGACGAATAAACACAGCTACGTATTCAACACCAGTCTCCAATACTTTGGCATTCATTCCTTCGTTCGTTTTATTTATTTATATATTTTTTCCAATTTCTCTCTTTTTTGGTTCAACTTTGATGTTTCCTCGTGCACTTTACACCATCACCACCATTACCATTTGCCTTTTACCTCTAATACCCCCAGGGATAGGCCAACGCCAAAGAAAACTCAAGACGACTCTTGGGCTTTATGCCAGAACTTATGCCAGATTTCGACATACCGCACATGAGATGGATATTTTCGGGTTAACGCGCAGCCTTTTGTCACTTGCCAACGGGGAAAATAATTGCAACCAATACCATTGAAAAAAAAAAAACATTTCCACTGAAAGAAGAAAGTTGGAAAAATAGAAGTGTTTTTTACTCGATAATGTTCCCATGAATTTATTGTTATCTCGGGGTGGTTAAAAGCCTTCGTGTCTTTCTAATGTTTCTAGTATTTTTGGGTGTTGAGGGATGGAATGACTATATTTACGGGCGGGTTTAAATGGATAGGGCATGTAGATGCGTGAGCGTGTGTGAACGCATCATTAGCGGGACTATCATTAGCCGACAAGGCCGTGTGGCCCAGGGACGGTCGCACCGGGAAGCCAGAGTCCATGGAATTTATCTTTTTTTTCACTAATCCAGAGAATTCACAATCTTCGTCTGGTCGTTCATTTCCTCCCCCTCGATCGTCTCCTTGATCTTCTTCGCCGTCGCCCGCCGCGTCTCTTCTTTCCTCTTCCGCTTCTTTTTCGCCTGCGACCTCTGCCCCGTCGGCCCCTGCCTCGCGATTTCCTACCACTTCCCAATCTTTTTCTACCTCTACTCTTTCTCCATGCCCGCAACTTTTTAAAGGCTGTACTACACTCACGGGTATCATCATCTCTTCGCGCACTTCGCACAAGTTCTTTGTTGAACACGTAGGTTCCCCTGGAAGCAACCGGAATTTCAGAGAAAAATGCAAATTTTCGTGCCGCGAAAATTTCTGTTTTTCTGGGTTTTTTTTAAGGAATTCTTAACAGAAAACATTTTATAGAGAAAATCAACCAGACTTTTAGAACAAAATTTGAACTTTTATAGAGGTAACTTTCAAGGGAGCGACATTGAATTCGATTTCGGGGAAAAAATCGTGAAATTTTGAATTTCAGTGAAAATTTAGTGAAATTTTAAATTTTTGAGCTGCAGAAAAACGAGAATCTTCCATTTACTTGGGATTCCAAGCGATACATTAATATTTAATGCGAATATACCTTGAATTTTTGATTAAGTGCACCCGCGAAAGAAATCTATAGAAGAATCTAGCGAAAATTCTTGTTGGCTAGAAAATTCCATCATTTTTTCGTCGATTTTATTGAAAAATTTACGTTTTCCAGAGTTTTTTCAATAGAAAATATTTTATACAGGAAATCAATCAGACCTTTAGAATAAAATTAGAAAATTCATGAACTGTTAACTAGTCACTTTCAGGGGAGCGACATTGAATTCGATTTCGGGGGAAAAATCATGAAATTTGAAATTTCAGTGAAAATTTAATGAAATTATAAATTCGTGAGCTACAGGAAAACGATAATCTCTAACTCACGTGGGATTCTAAGAAATACATTAATATTTAGTGTCAATATACCTTGAATTTTTAATTAACGGCACGGACGAAAAAAATTTGTAGAAAAACCTAGCAAAAATTCTTGTTTGCCAGGAAATCTCAGCCTTTTTTCGTCGATTCTATTGACAAATTTCAATTTTTCAGTTTTTTTTCAATAAAAAATATTTTATTGAGAAAATCAATAGAATTTGATGTTTTTATACAATTTATTGACATATTATCTGCGGATATTTATCAATTGAAATTTTCTAAACTTTTCCGTTGGATTTTTTTAATAAGAGCAAAACGATAGAGCGAAAGAAATAGAGTTTATATCCGAAATTTTTATAGAAAATATTGCAATAAAAAAACTTGTATGTAATGATGAAATTTTCCTAATTTTTTCTATAATTTCTGATTTCTCACAATTTTTATGCAATAATTGAACTGAAATTCCAATTTTCCCCCGATTTCTCGAAAATTTACCAAATTCTTTAAAATTTCACTGATAAAAATTTCCCAGAAATATAGCGGAAATTTCAGCAAAAAAATTTGCAAATACAGTTATTCCAGTCTGTTTGATCAACATTTTGCCTGTTGATAATTAGTGTAAATTGATAACACACCCTTTCTGACGCTTCAAAAGACCGTAATCTATGCCACGACGAAGAGCAAGCTGAACCTGCCTCTTAATTTCTTCACTCGGAACGTCATACTCCCGCGAGAGATAGTTACTTATCTCCTTAGATGTTGAACCCTGAATGTCTTGGAGTGTTTTAATGGCGCGCACCACTAGTTTCTCGAATTGTGATGTTTTCTGCGGAGCCATTCTCTTATTTTCCTCACTTTTAAAATTTTCAGTTAACTTTCGTCATCACAGGAATTTCATTAGTTATATTTAGTGGAGAAATGTGTGGATTGAACTGTCGGATTTGAATATGAATGCGCCTATGTCTTAACAACTTTTTTTTATTGATGTTTGTTGTCATGGATACACATTCATTTATTTAATCACTCTATTTTCAAATTTTTCGACTTGCTTATTCATTGTTATTTTCAATAAATTCATAATGATTAATTCCATACGCCGCATTGATCCAATAATTCAGCAAACTGAAATGATTTTTCTTTTTTGATTTCAGGTAAGTTGTCCCGCACACCATTGGGTCTGTACTAGTATCTAAATTATCAATCGTTAATCGGTAAAACTGAAGACATTTAATTTATAAAAACGACTGTGCGAAGATCGGAAGATGGAAACGAGGCAACGCGCATCGAGATATGCCCTGGAAAGAGCATCAGGTATGTTTTTCTGCTCGATAGAGAAATAATAAAGTAGACGAATTCTCGCATAGTATTGCCTCGGCTCTGCCTTCCATTCATCCAAGTTGCTTTTAATTTAAACTCATTCATATTAAATACAGGGGACCTGGGGAACTGGGCCCTTTGGATGCATTGTACACCTCTGTAGAATAGATACAGAGCAGAATGTTTTAAAGAGGATTACAAGCACACGTGATTAAAGAGAGGAAAAACCTCGGGTGTGTGGGTGGGAGCACGTGGGAGTGGGGTAAATGTTAAAAGGGGCTTCCAATTGTCGGTGTTAGAGGGCAGTGGCGATCACTGCCATTGCCTGCTGACATCTGTCGACGACATCCAGCGGCTCTGAGGTGACAGTCGATTTGTTACCACGAGGGCAGCAAGAAAATTCCGCGAAAAAGATATTTTGTTTATTATTATTAAATATTTTCAAAAAATAATATTTGAATATTATTAATTATTATATTAATGAATATAATATGATTATGAATATATTATCTGATTAATTGTATAATATATAATTAATTAATAATTAATTATTTTAAACATTTATCTCGACGGGGGATGATTGTAGTATTAATTATGGGGATTATATGTGGACATTGGCTTATTATTTATCAATTGCCGAGAATAACATAATTTATCCGTGGAACAAGCAAAGTCAGAAAATAGCTTACGCAGGGATCGGCAATAATCACTAGTTTAGTGATATTAATTATTGCCTTAAAATAATTTGAGTTTACTGATCTTCATTGAAATTGGAAAATAATTTTCATTTTCGATTAAGCAAATAATCGTCAATTTTTTTAACTCAATTACTGATCGATGAAAGAGTTAGAAATTTGAAAAAATTGATTGATAATTGATTTAATATTATAAAAATTAGCCTTTACAGTTCACTAATTTCATGTGTAATGAAATAATTTTATTGAGACATTATGATTATGCCGAAATCTGAGCCCACCAACGTAGAAAACCCATCGTTACATAATTCACAATAGATATTGTCTGCAATTCGGTGTGATTCGCGTGTATTGTTGTCCATAATTACCCCTATATCCTGACGATCTTTTTTATCCATTTTTCTCATTTCCGGTCTCTGAAGCAGTTATAAATTTCCAATAAAATCAGGCATCAGAACAGAAGTTCCATACGAATTATCAACATACGGCGATACTAGAGTTAAAGGATTTTCATTGAAAATCTCAAAAACTAAACAAAAACAATTTTCTTTTTCTACCAATATCTTCTGCATTTTGCTAGAAATTTTAATCCAACAATCCAACTTGATTTTTCGGGATAAAATAGCCAATATACACCGAATGAAGGCATTAGCATGAGATTGTATGCGGCTCCAAGTCTCTTATATTTACATTATTAGAAAAAGCTAATGTTTCCTCAAAGAAATTCTATTGAATTCTATTCTATTCTATTTCTGGGAACTGAATTTTCCAAGTTTTTCCGCTGTATTTTTATTTGTTTCTCATAACAAAATCCAAGGAATGAACTTGGACAATTCAAGCAAATTCTTAACCGAATGAGTAACATAAAAATATCGACATTTTTAGATTTTCCTTAAAAAAAAAATATTTATTGAAAAACGCATGGCAGAGTTTTGTAGCCCTCAATTCTCTCTACAAAAAAGTAATTACAAAAATTGGGAGATATTCTTCGATAACTCAGCTAAGGGCTAAATTGATTTAAACCATTTTACCGCTTCGCTAGTGATATGTTTCGACATCAGTCTAAAAAATTACACAATTCCCCCGAATACGAAAAACTCTATTTTTGGAAAGTGGATAAACATGCTTAATATATGCAAACAATAGATAGAATTACACCTGCAGGATACTCAAAGGTGGCGGGAAACGAATCAAGTAAATTACGTGGGAAAGTGTCGCGCGGAGATCATCAAATCGTGCTGGTTTTAACATCCTGTGTCCTTGCAGCATCACTCACTCAACTAAACGCCGGGGCAAACTGGCATTGCAGTTGGTAATCACAGTACAGTTGATAATCCCCCCTTAAAAAATAATGGGTATCATTACTCCACTAATTTAAACGTATCCTATTTCACGAAAAAGATGGATCACCCAAATCAAAATAATAATCATCAAAGAGACTCGTAAAATTGCCATTCGAGGAGAGAAAAAAAATTGTGTTTCACCCACAATAGCATTCACTCGAATGACGTCATTTCCGGAGATCAAGGGTAAAGGAGATCCGGAGATTATCTAGGATAATTACACTCGATGTCTTTTGGTGGAAATATACTCGTTTAAGGATGTCCAAGTACTTTGGCGATTTTTTCTCCAGTGAAATGCTTTTCTACTTTTGTTAGTCGAAAATCAGAGCTTTTATTTGAGCCCCATTTGGCCGTGAGTTTCTGGGAATTTTACAGTGATTTTTTAATGAAAATCTTGCAGGTCTGCATTTGAATCTTAATATTGAACCATTGGAAAATATTTTAAAAATCTGAAAAAAAAATTATAAATTGTGCTTTTGGAGAAAGATCGATGAATTCAGTCAAAAATTGCAATTTTTGAAAGTTATGCAAATTTTCTACAAATAATTTATAAACAATCAAGTTTCCACCATAAAAATCATTCGTTCGGAATCATAACAAATTCATTCATACTCAGAATTTTACCAGAAATTATTTATAAACAACAAATGTTAAAAAAAAAAATTCTTGATTTCTGTCAATTTTTTCTCACGCAATTTAATTGACAAATTCCATAATCGAAAATGGTTGCATCTGTAGTTTAGTCTGCACCAAACTGTTAAAAATACTTTTGCGCATAATTTTAAATAATTTAATTTTTGAAAAGTATGCGCATAAATCGTAACAAATTTATTCATCTTCAGAATTTTACCAGAAATCGATTTGATGTTGAAAAAAATTAGGTTTCCGAAGGTTTAAGCAATTTCAATTATTTATTTATAAACAACGAATGCTTAAAAAAAATAATTCTGTACAAAATGTTATTGGAATAACGCTGAATATTCATGATTTTTTTCAAATTTTTTTCACGCAATTACGTGAGTAATTTGATGTTTGAAAATGGTTAAATTTATAGTGTGGTCTGCACCAAACTAAAAAATACTTGGATATCCTTAAGTTATATTTATAGTTGACGCTATGATTCCGAGAAAATTGTGGGGGTTGCAGCTGCCCTTTCAAGTGCTCCATTTCACGGCGGAATACATGTATACGTGAGTTTGCGAGTTGGATGAATGGAATAAGGGGATGAAAGTGCGTTCACGCGACATGCCTCGTGACTTCTTGATCCAGACGGTTTCCACAATTACTGGTTTTCATTGCGATACATTGCGGTAAACAAATATATATTTGATAAAAAGTATCGTCAACGTGGACTTGTTGTCCCATCGGAATGGATGAAAAACGCCAGGAATAACTGGACTAAAGCAATTTCCTGTGGCTGCAGAGATATACAAAAAAAAAAACAGGTCGAAGCCTAGTGACACTATCCTTGACTGCACGAAGCACCTGAGGATTGAAATATAAATTGAGATTTTATAGGGAATTTAAACGATATACGAGTGAAACGACACGCATGAGGACCTCTCATCGATTCATCGGATTCTACACAATTTCATGTTGACATCTCCCCTTAATATTCAAACGAAAACGGCCATTTCAATGGCGTCCAAAAATACTCAAGTGGAGCTATTAATTGCGAATTAATTAAGGCGCATTCAGTGGGAAAACTCGTATTTTGAGAATGAATGAGGGAATGCATAACGGGCGGTGGGGTGGAAAATCTAGTCACGTGGACCACAGCGTGCTCTCTCGAATACATTCAAAACGAAAAGCTCTGTATCGGTGGGGTTTATTTGGAACGCAGATATTTGAGTCCAAAAATACAATTTATTGAAGGGAATTAATATTCTCATTCTCTCAGATTTCTATTTTCCACGACAATCTCCAGCAATAGTAATTCGTATTTTTAAAAATTGCCAATGTAGACACGTGAGAGATTTGTAATCGCAGGTATGGAAAAATTCAATAAAAAATTGCATCACCTTAAAATTTAATTTGATATTCAATTTAAAAAAATTAATAGGTGATTTTTCTAGAGAAATTGTTGGGCATGGATTCGTGGGCATTTGTCTTAAATTGTCTTAAAAAAATTTATGCCCATGAATTTCCAAAGGAGAAATACCAGGAGAATAAAATTAGGCAAAAAAATTAAAAAAATATGGAAAACTACATTTCCCTATTGAATTATTCTGTAGGTACATGTGTGAATGAGATTATGACGTAGACATAGTTGTTGACATCCAGGAAATACGATATCACAAAACTTCGCCTCAAAAATGTAATTTATCGAATAAAATTACTATTCTCATTCTCTCCGATTTCTATTTTCCATCGACAATTTCCTAAAATAGCAATTCGTACTTTCAAAAATTGTTCATGTAGACACGTGAGTTGTTTGTAATCGTAGGTATGAAAAAATTTAATAGAAAATTGCCTTGTCTTAAAATTTGATTTGATATTCAATTTTAAAAAATTAATAGATGATTTTTCAATAAAAATTCTTGGGCATGGATTTACCAATTGTTCTAAAAAAATTGTGCCCATGAATTTCCATTGCGTAATCCCAA